TCCATGTAAGGTTAAGTGACAGTCTCTTTGGAGTCACACCTGGCATGTTGAAAAATGGTTACAGTTACTGGAGGTCAGTCACCTCAGCCCCAGGACATCTCTGCAGGGGTTTCTCAGGGTAGTATCCTACACCCAACCATCTGCAGCTGCTTCATCAAATGACATTTCCTCCATCATAAGGTCAGATGTGAGAATGTTCACCAATGTTTAGCACGATTCACGACTCCTTAGATACTAATGCAGCCCTTGGATACTAATCCAGGCTTAAGCTGACAAGTGGCAAGTAACATTCGCGCTGCCAGGCAAAGACCATCTCCAATAAGAGACAATCTAACCACCACCCCTTGACATTCAATGGCATAACCATCATGGAATTCCCCACCATCAACATTCTGAGATTTACTGTTGACCAAAAACTCAACTGGAGTTACCATATAAATATAGTGGCTAAAAGAGCAGATCAGATGCTCAGAATACTGCAGCAACTTACTCACCTCCTGACTCCCCAAAGCCTTTCCACCAACTACATGGCACAAGTCAGGAGTGTGATGGAATACTCCAGATTTGCCTGGATGAGTGCAACTTGAACAACACTCAAGTAGTTTCACATTATCCACAATAGAGTAGCACACTTGACTGGCATCACATCCACAAACATCCACTCCTTCCACCATCAAGGCCTGGTAGCAGTAGTGTGTACTATCTATGAGATGTACTGCAGAAAGTTGCCAAGTCCTTAGACAACACCTTCCAAGTCCACAATCACTTCCACCTAGATGGACAAGGGCAGCAGATACATGGGAACACTACCACCTGCAAGTTACTCCTCCAAACTGGTAAGATGGCAGTGGAATAGAGCTTCTGAGCCTGGAGTTGGTCCGCTCTGTCCACTTTTCTTTTCGATTTTTTTTGCTCTCTTTTCTCGTTTTTTTTTCTTTTTTTAACCTATTTTCTTTACTTCTTGTTGAAGAGCTTGGTTGTGGCGACTGCATTGGCAGCAACAAATAGGACCAGCACGGATTCGTGTCAGTGGCGTTTGAAAGAGTTTCAGTTCCCAGTGGCTTCTGTATCGACAGGGCGGTCCTAACACCAACTCATGGTTGCTGCGACAAAGGCGCGTCTGGGCCTAGTTCAAGACCCGGTGGCATCGCCAGCTGCTGCATCGGCAAGGTGGGCTGAAAGCAGAATCATGGCAGTGGTGGAGTCGAGTTTGCCAGTGCAGTATGTGGCAGCATCAGTGGCATATGGCATTGGCGAGGTCCAGTGAGGACACATAGTGGCGAGAGCGTTGATGAAAGCCAGATGGTGGCAAAGAGTGGCAATATTCATTCCAATGGTGGTGGGTCAGCAAAGGTGACTCATGCATGGCCACCAGGGCAAATACAGAAGGGCTCTATATTTGAACACATTTTCTTTACTTTTTCTCTGCCTTCATATTCTGGTTTTGGTTTATTTTTCTGTGTTTTAAGATGGCACCAGAGAGTGGCAACAGTACACAACACTTATCACTGTAATTTGTAACAAAGTACAGTGACAATAAATCAAATCAATAAATCATTTCAATCCAACCATTCACCATCCTGATTTGGAAATATACCACCATTCCTTCACTGTCACTGGGTCAAAATCCTGGAATTCCCTCCCTAAGGGCATTGTGGATCTACATACAGAACAAGCACTGCAATGGTTCAAGAGGCATCTCAGCACCACCTTCTTAAGGGTAAATACAGAACTTCTGAAGAAGAGTCTAGGTCCGAAACGTCAGCTTCCTGCTCCTCTGATGCTGCTTGGCCTGCTGTGTTCATCCAGCTCTACACCTTGTTATCTCAGATTCTCCAGCATCTGCAGTTCCTACTACTATCTCTGAAACAATTTTAACCCCACTGCAAAGCCTCTTCTAAGGATGCCTACCCTGAAGAAGTTATCCTCCTCCCTCCGGAAAAACCTCAGTGGATCTCTCTCCCATTTCTGAAGAAGGGTCTAGGCCCGAAACGTCAGCCTTCCTGCTCCTCTGATGCTGCTTGGCCTGCTATGTTCATCCAGCTCTACACCTTGTTATCTCAATAGAGACAGCTGCCCAGCCAGTGACGCCCACATCCCACGAGTGAATAATAAAAACAAACTTCTTTATTCTTGAACACAATGTCATTGACAATGTTAATGAGGAAACCCTCGGGCATGCAATTCAATCCAATAGAGCAATGTATGTGATAATTCACTATTTTTGTCAACTACAAACAAAAGGTTACAAGTTTAAATGTCTTCTACATAACTCAAGTACTATTTCAATAGCGATGAATAATTTCTAAAATTTAAGGAGTTCTTATCACTAAAGTTTTAACATTTGAAACATTAAAGTCTATTTTAAAAGTGCCCATTAAAAGCTTTGTTGCAATTGCATTGCAGGTAACATTTTCCCCAAACAATTCTTTGTAGAAGTTAGACATTATTTTACTTGACAAAAAGAAAATCGTCTTCAGAGGATCCATTCAATTATATTACTTTTCAACTGTGGCCTTGCTCAAAGTAATTAAAAGGCCATCCTAGCCAATTATTGCTTGATTTGTTTGATAACTTTCTCCCATTAAACTGACAATGCTAACTATTCTACTGCTGTGTATAAAATGTTACTGCAGAAATAGGATGGTGTGTTAATTGTAATAGGCTAGAAGTTCCCATAAAAAAGATGAAAAACTAAACTGAGTTTACTCTAAAGGAGTACAACAAAATCCCAAGGTTCTGTGAATGACAGCATAGCACAAAATCTTACAAAGTCTTAATCCTTCAATGCACTGTTTATAACTGCGATAGATAACTTATCTATCATCTGAAAATCTACAGGGTTAGAAATGTACAATTTGAAATAAGATTTAAAAAGTTACATGAAAATTATGTTTCTATTATGCAATAGGATGCAGCCTATATGTGAGATCAATAACAGACCTAAACTCACTGATCTTCAAAAAAGCATATTTGATAAATTCAACTGCAAGCTTCTGTTGCCCTTCAAATAAGTAGTAAATAATATTTAATAATCAAGCTGAAATATGTAGAATGCTTAGCCCATTTGGCCCAGATTTTGATGTTGCAAAGATTACAAATCTATCAGCATGAATTTACAACGTTACAATGGTAAAACTAACAGCAACCTCTAAAATCCACACATGCATAAACATGAAAATCCAAACATTTCTATCAGTGATTCCATGTTATTCTCCAGTTGAAATCCTCTTCAGTGATACTCTTCTGAAATCATTTGAATTGACACGAACTTCCATTTTTACACTATTAGTTATGCTGTAAAAAACCCTTTAAAAGGTTACAACTTGTTGAATATTGTGTAACTAGGTCTTACACAGCATCTTAAAATCATAATAACAGATTTAAAAAATCCTCTCCAGCCTTGAAAAAACTAATTTTATATTTATGGAATGTCAAATTTCACCACTGTGCTACATAAATATACTCTACTTCTTTTAATACAAAAAACATTAAATGAATAAGAAGTAAATAACAATCAATCAGTTTTTTCTTCCTTCCTGCTTTGACGTACTGAGGCTAGTTGCTTAATGTACTTGATGTCATCACCATTACTGGACACCTGAATTAAAAGGATATCAAGAAATGGAGAGCTTGGATAAAGGGGTCTGCTTCAGAGAGATCGCTAGAGGCTTGTGAGCAGCTTTCTTAAAAGATAGCAACAAATGCTATACCTCACCATGAACTAGGAAATCCAGTTGTAATATTAGTAATAAACTGCCCTCCTAGAAATTTGAAGGGATTGTTCTGATAAATATCATGCCCGATCATATCATAAATATCAGAAGTACATCATTCTGAGTAATCAGATGACCATCTTTTAAAAATCACAATTTTCATTTTTCCTGTAAGTTACTTCAAGAAAATGTGTTTCAACGAAATAAGAAGCCACAAATTTACCATTGACTGAATTGAACAGTAATTTTAAAAAGGACTTTCAATTTATTTGCTATTATATATGACCAAACTATTGCAAAATAAATAACAATATTCTCGAGTTTCATAAAATAAATTACTGCCAAATGGGCCAGGATAAAAGCAGATATTAGACTTCCAGGAGCAGAATCAATCATGGACAAACTGGCATTGGGGTGAGAGGCAGATACAGATTCACTGCACAAAAAGGCCATAAAAAACAAAAAAGATTTTGAAGATGGCAAATAGCGAGACATGACGGTCAGTGCAAGAATAGAGAGGAAAATAAGATTTGAATCAATGAATGGGGTCATAAATGATGGCAAGGAGTAAGGGAAGTGGCAGGACCGGAATGAGAGTGGCAACTATTGTTCCCTGCAAGGATGCACAGTGATCCAGGCAGTACTGTGCGGAGGACAAAGCAGCTATGTTCAAAAAAGATAAATTAGAAGAAACATTGGGCCATCTTCATGGGGCAAAGAGAGGGTGTTGGAGGGAAAATAGGGAAAAGCTAACAAGCATTCACAGCATCAGAGAAACAGTCCATCTGCAGAGAAAATCAGAATGCGGTACTCACGAAAAGATATAGAAAGAGATGTCATTCAGTCAAAGAGACAGACAATTTGCACAAAGATAAAAGGGCACGCATGGAGTTTAGGCATTGAGAAGTGGGCACACAGATCCGTAAAGGAAGAGGCCATGTGCAGAGAAAGTGAAATAAACACATCAATAGAATAAAGGCAGAGAACTCAAGGCAAGCATAGAACATTAAAAAGTTAGTTTAAAGATGACATGTTCAGCGGTTGAGGAAGCGTACTAACAGGCAGTGGAGCAGTCACAGATCAGAGTGAGCACTTGCCATGGAGCGAGGAAGAACACACGCAGATGCAAAAGGAGGTGGGGAAGACAAGTGCAGACAGAGTGAGGGGGAGATCTGCAGTCAAAGAGGAACAAGAATACCCCAACATTCACAGCAAAACAGGGATCTACAAAGAGACGGAAACGTTGCCTTCAGCTGAAGATATGCTGCTTATCATTTTACTCACCCCAGGACGATGAGTTCTCCATACTTCACGGGATCCTTGGTGGGCGCACTGTGATCTTCTTGACTTGATGAAAACATGAGTGGCGCTCGGTTTACGTCTCGCCGACGTTCACCGCTCAGTACTGAATGACTGTATCCACAAGCATACCTTGAGTTTCGTCCTTTTATTTATTTGTACTGCTTTGGTTGTGGACGGGTGTTTTGTTTTGTCCGACTCCCTTTCCTCTGACGTCTCCTCCAGCTTCTGATCCTCAAAATCTGTCCCTTGCTGCCAAACAGCCGAGTGTTCCCTGCATCGAGAAAGAACCAGAGAAAAAAAACCGTCAACAATCAGATTAGTCAGCTGGCCAGGACCGGGGGCGGGGGAGGAGTCTACCAATAACTGCTCACCCGGGAGGTAACCCTGTGGCCACTATTACAACGACCAAGATCTTTCCCATCACTATTGAACTCTATTACATGCACGTCATGTCCAATCACACAGTTTATTCTTGTTTTACTTCAGAAATGCACAAATGAGAGATATAAATTTTGAAAAAAAGGTCATTCAGTGTGTCAGCTGCTCACCTCCCCCACCCCCCCGGAACTCTTTTTGTGCTGCGTTCCCAGTCTGAGGGTGTTATGTAAACAGAGCAGACGGAGCCGCCGCGTGAAGCGCGAGCGCCTGGAAAGGGCCAGGGTTCGGAGCGCGAGTCACGCCACGAGTCAATTAAAATAACGAACAGCAGCGCGAGCCGCGAGTGTTAATGTGGTCAGGAGGCCCAGGCTCCCCCAACTTATTAGCAGGAATCTGCCAAAGGGGCGCGGCTACAGCTGTCACTTCCATCCGTTCCGAGTTCGAGAGAAAGGCACCCTGTAAACTCATTTGCGCCCGACTGGCGTGGCAGATGTCGGCGTTGTGTCCCAACCCTGCCGCTGACTGTCGCCTGCTGCTTGTTGCTGTTGGTCAATGGAAGCATACATTTAATATGTTGAGCTGTCTCCTCTATTGAACCTCGGTTCCGGGGCCATGCTGGTACTGCCAGATCCAGCGATAACAATGACTTTGCTGTTCCAAAGTGTCTCTCTCTTTCCTCCCTCCCCCTCCCCAAAAAGGTTTGCCAGTAAAGCCACAGAAAGCACAATGTGACAGCTGTGATGTGTGAAACTCCATGCATCCTTATATAACTTTTATGTTAGAGTGCTTTGGTACTTGTTAAACACATCTTCCATACACAGTAGATTAATAGGCTTCTTTTAAGTAACATTTGAATAATCCATATTGAAAAACGTTTTGGAATTACAAAAAGAATTGGGAATAAAAACATGCATTCAAAATTGGGCGCGATTAAAGAAATGGTTATTAATATCATATAATGTACATATGTGTATTCGAAGTGAAAGCTGAAAGTTCGGTTGCTGCCAAACCATGAGACGCTTAATTCGTCAGTCATAAGAGCCTGACACGATCTCTGTGAATCCCGTCCACAACCAAAGCAGTACAAATAAATAAAAGGACGAAACCATCGAGTATATCAAATGATTGTTTTTGTAAAGTATTTCTGAGAAATTTACCAAATTGTAGCATTTCACATTGAAATGCTAAACGTATGGTTAAATATATTCCACCAAATCTAAATTTCCTTTTTAACACTGAGAAACAAATATTGAAAACAGTAAAGGAAAAAATAAGGAAGTAGTCATTAGGAGGCATCTAGATATCAAGTTTTAAAAGGAACAGGAGGAAGGAGATTACGGGAGAATTAAGGAGTTCCAAAGTTTTTGGTTTAAAATGTCATAATTGTTGCCAAATGGCTAATGGTGAATTTTAGACAAACTCAAATGCAGCAGCACATCGTTTATACTGTAATTCCTGGATTAGTTGAGGGCAGGGAAGGAAGAGAAAATAGACAAAAAGGAAAGAAAATCTAAGTTGCAAATAAATCTGTAAGCTAATGTGAAGCAGTTTGGTATCCAACCCGCTGTTTCGTAGTTGTTTAAGCGGAAATGGTGCTGTTGCATGTCTGAGTGCAACGGGGCTGGACTTCTGTGCCATTCCATAGTAACATCCCCATGGTTGGTTCAACATTAAAGGTGCAAGGAGAAATATCTGATTGTTGTCACAGCATCAATGATGCATGCTAGCTGCAGTTATATTTGCAGCAGATGGCACATGATTCTGCCTCTTTCTGATCTCTATTTCCTATAATCATTGGCTGATAGACATGACAAAATCTAAGAAATAATGACTTCGTGGCAGATGCCATCAATCAGTAAACACTACTCTAAATTGTCTTGCCATGCCATCTTTTATATCAGTGTCATTGAAACATGGTGGAATGGGGTGCTTCCAAGGAATTTATTTTTCTGACAATGTAGAACATTGAAGTTGAATGCTGTATTTAGTTAAAAAGAGGGCTGGACACATATCTGCTTACCTTATAGCCACTTTTGCACAAAACTTGAGGGGAAAAAACGCACAAAGAGTGGGACTGCAAAAATGCATATCTTAATATCACTAATGTTTTGAAATTTCACTGTGATTTCACATGAACCGTGCAAAGGGCATAGTTACATTATCCTTATCAAAATAAGTCAGAACTTTGTTTTTATAGTTCTTCAGGGCAGGAATTACTAATACAGTATTCTTTACAGGTTTCAGCAGTTTAGTCTTTTACAACCAGTCATCTTACTGTAGAGCCCAAAAGCTTGCCTTCCAATCATGTGATTATTTTAAAACACAAACTGAAATGATACTGGATCTATATAGAGAAAAATCCAAAACTACTCTAGTGCATAAATGTCACTGAAAAAGATGGTAACCCCACTGCTCTTACAACAGGACTTTCTAAAATGAGGGACTTCAAAATTCCAAGTGGCACAGCAGTGTCTGAACGCTTAATATGTATCTGAAATACTTGTCTACTATGGGTGTTGCTGGCTGGCCAGCAATTATTGCCCATTCCTAGGTGGTGGTGAACTGCCTTCTTGACTCCTGCAGTCCACGTGCTGTATGTAGTTCCACAATACTCTTAGGGAGGGAATTCCGGGATGTTTACCCAGCGACAGTAAAGATACAATGATATATTCCAAGTCAGGATGGTGAGTTGAACTTGCTTTTGGTATTCCCACGTATCTGCTGCCCTTGTCCATCTAGATGGAAGTGGTTGTGCTGTCTAAAGATCTTTGTCGAATTTCTACAGTGAATCTTATAGATAGCACATACTACTGCTGATGAGCATTGATGAGAGTAGATGCTTGTGCATTTGGTACCAATCAGCTGGGCTGCTTTGTCCTGGATGGTGTTAAGCTACTTCAGCATTGTTGAAGTTACACTCATCCAGACAAATAGGGAGTATTCCACTACAGTTGTACCTTGTAAATGGTGGACAGACTTTGGGGAGTCAGGAGGTGAGCTACTTGGTGCAGTATTTCTAGCTTCTGACCTGCTCTTCAAAATGGCAAGCTCAGTCAAATTTCTGGTCAGTGGTAACCCCCAAGGATGTTAATAGTAGGGGATTCAGTGATGGTTACGCCATTGAATGTCAAAAGACAGTGGTTAGATTGTCTCTTATTGGAGATGGTCATTGCCTGGCATTTGTGTTGCACAAATGGTACTTGCCACTTGTCACCCCAAGCCTAGGGATTGTCTAGGTCTTGTTGCACTGAAACGTGGACTGCTTAGTATCTGAGGAATCATGAATGGTGCTGGACATTGTGCAAACATAGGTGAACAGCCCCACGTCTGATCTTATTAGGGAGAAAAATCATTGATGAAGCAGCTGAAAATGGTGGGGCCTAGAACAATAAACTCATGAACTCCTGCAGAGATGTCATGGAGCTGAGATGACTGAACAACAACTACAACCATCTTCCTATGTGCCAGATATGACTCTAACCACCAGACAGTTTTCCCTTGATTCCCGTTAATTTCAGTTTTGCTAGGGGTCCTTGAAGCCACACTTGGTCAAATGTGGTCTTGGTGTCAAGGGCACTCACACTGCACCTCTTGAATTCAGCTCTTTTGTTCATGTTTGAACCAGGGCTGTAATGAGGTCAGGAGCTGACTGGCTCTCGCAGAGCCCAAACTGAGCACTAGTGAGCAGGTTGTTGATAAGCAGGTGCTGCATGATAGTACTGTTGATGACACATTCCATTATTTTACAGATGATCAAAAGTAGACTAATGGGGTGAGTTGATTACAGGGATTTTTTGCATCCAGAAAAAGCAATAGTTACTGGAACTCCTACTGCTGATCCCTGTGAACAACATGAAGCAGATTACCTTGCCTTCTAGGTGAGAAAGATATTGCTTCTTGGTTCATAGGTACTCTCCAAGTAGTCCACTGAGTTTTCTAGCAGCTGTATGTGTGAATTCCCTTCACCAATTCATCAACACCACTGGACAATTCAACTGCTCTATTTCTGTCTGTTGCATCTACCATGCTACAATGTATCACAAGAATGCCTCTGATTCTCCTTGCTGATACTCTCGCTCTCTCACACACTCTATTGGGGCTTCTGGGCCCACACTGCACCTCAGGCTGTACAGCATTCTTCAGCACACGCTTAGGGTTTCAGGTTCCATGTTCCATGTTCCCAAGCTGCTGAGGGCACTTCTTGACCCATAGGGGCCCACAAGGATGACCACTTTGCTTGCCCAGTTTTCTCCTGAGTCAACTACATCTATTAACAGAGACCCCACGTCCTCCAGAGAGTGAGCAACTGAAACCAAGGACACCATCCGGCACTGTACCAGTCAGAAAGTGGATTGCCAGAGTCCAACACAACTGCCAGCTATATTTAGCTGCATTTATTTTAACTGTTCATGTACAGAAATATTTAACTGAAGTAATGTAAGTTGTGCATGAATCAAGCAAATTGACTACTTTTGTGGACATCTCCGTGATTAAAGATAGTCATTGATATTGTGTTAATGCAGTCATGATTATGAACATATAATTTTAAAAAGATACTTCATTATTATTTAAAAAAGGATTTGTTCTTTTAATTCATCCATGGGATGCAGGCATCATTGGCTGGGCAAGCATTTATTGCCCATCCCTAACTGCCCATCTCTAATTGCCTTCAGCACAGTTAAGAGTCAACCACATTGCTTTGGGTCTGGAGTCACATGTAGGCCAGACCAGGTAAGGATGGCAAATTTCCTTCCCTAAAAGACATTAATGAATTAGATGGGTTTTTTCTTGACAACTAACAATGATTTCATGGTCAAAATTAGACTTTTCTTTCCAGATTTCTATTGAATTCAAATTCCAAGGATTTTGCCATCTGCCAAGGATTTGAACCCA